AAATCTCCAATTACGTGATATAGTCAAAGTTAGTTTTAAGAAAATTTTATGTCTCAAGAAATAACAAGTTACTTTACTAAGAAATACATACATATTAGCATGAAATATATTAATTAATCATTTTTATAGCTTGCTTGGCCAATCTAGAACATAAACATATAGAATATAATAATATTACATTGGAAAAATTCTTATAATTAAGATCCATGGTTACTGGTATATGATCTTTCCTTAAGAGTCTATTAGCTTCATGGGATTTCACATTAAAGTGGAAAGTAATTATTAAAATTGTAAAGGGTATAAAATATCGTGAATTCATGCAAATTATAAAATGAAAACATAGTATTGTGATGAGAATAAAATTATTTAAATATTTTTTCATAGAAAGATTTTGATATTCATGTACTGTTTATTGTAAATTGTACTTAATGTGAATTGACCATGTAATTTTGACTTTGGTTATGGTAATTTTGATACTTTTGATTAACCATATACGTATAAAGACATAAATTATTTTTCATTTTCACGTGAAATAAGAAATATTTCACTCGAGTTAAGTAAGAAAATAGAAAAAAAGAATAATGATATTGAACCACGTTAATGCACGTGCATCCAATCTAGTATAGTAAACTAGGCTAATTTTACATTTTAAAAGATATACAGTTAGTAAGTACCCACGGAAGCAAACAAATCGTTAATTAACAATAGTTTTTCAAAGATATAGTGAGCAAATGTCACTTATGTATAAAGTCTATGTGCACTCATCCTTGTGATAAGATTTTCGCTATATCCATAGTAAATCTTCAATATATATGCTCTCAATTTCCTCAATTATCTTGTGCCTGACTATAAATACGAGATATATGTTAGCATCTCTATTAACCAAAAAAGTAAAAGAAATATAGTAAAAAGAAAGATGGTGGCTTCTACAGTTTCCTAAACTCATTTTGTAGCTCTTTTCTTGGCCGTCTCATCTTCTCAAGCCCGTAAGCCTCTCTCTCCTCTCCTTTCTTTCTATTTATACATTTTGAAGCTTACCCATTTTGGGACAACTAGAGCTTGTCACAAAACCCCCCAAAATGTTCCTTATTTTTTCAACATGCCCTCCAAACTGCTTAACCCCTACGTTTTGTTAATTAAAATATCTCCCTTATTTTCAGTGGTTGTTTGGTTGTTTTCCGAAAAAAACAAGAAATGGAAATGTCACATTTCATTTGATATCATGACATTTCAATTCCGAAAAAAACAAGAAATGGAAATGTCACATTTCATTTGATATCATGACATTTCAAGAGTTTTCCCATATTTCATTTTTTGTGTTTATGGAAATGTCACATTTCATTTGATATCATGACATTTCAAGAGTTTTCCCATATTTCATTTTTTGTGTTTGTTTCGCAAAGAAATCACCCCTTGAAACCACCAAGTCACATAAAGAGACAAAAAAAGCCGCAATAGTAACAGTGCATGTGTTTTCTAGTTCTTGTGTTTGTCAGAATGAAAGGGTAAGGCTTAGGGGTCTTATTGTCAAAAAAAAGGAAAGTTGAGGCCTGATAAAAAAAGGGGTAAAACTTAGAGGCTTCTTAGTCAAAAATAAAAACTTAGGAGTTTCTTACAAATAGGGAGTAAAACTTGGGGGCTCTTTAAACAATCTTGTCTATAATTGGTTACATATACGTGACAGGCCCGCTATTGCTAGCCTACCACTAATTAGTAGTTTAAAGTTGATTAACTAAACCAAACAATATTGAAATGTATATGTAAAGTCATGATATATTTCTGAAACATTATGAGTGAAACAATGTCCATTAAAACTCGGAAAGGTATGTCAATGAAATTTTTTTCCTAATATATACTTTTACTTTTTATCAAAATTGCTACTAGGTCTAGATATCTTATGCTATTTTAAAAGTTAGCCCGTCAAATAATTGAAAGTGCTACCAGGTTCCCAATATGTAAATTATCATGAAATTAGATCTTCAAATAAAGAGTAGAATTAGCAAGTAAATGGAGCTTTTTGTAATGACTTGTTAATTGAGGGTCTTAATAGAAATGTCGATGTGCAACCACTGAATGGAGCAAACTCGTGCAGCGCACGCGCTGTCCTCACTAGTATATATAGTATAGAAAGGAGAAGAAAGACACGCGTTCAACTATCAATTTTATGTGTAATATAATATTCGTGAACTTAATAATATTAGCGCATGTAGTTAAAATATCAGTATAAACAGAACCTTGTATTAGTGCAAACACACATAACTCAGTGTAATCAATGCTTTTAAAATGGATGTTAAGAGTTGTTACAAGAAGTAGCGCGGGGTGGTAGTCGTGTGCCTACACAACCATGTGACAAGATTCAAGTAGCAGACCTTAGACAAGTTGTTGACTGTCGTAAATAGGTTTTGATTTTGTTGAGAAATAATGCTTTGCTCATAAGTCTAGACTCTAGTAGGGGTAGGAAATTGCTATGACGATCACGACCTTAGCAAAAACCATATGATGTTCAAATTAGTGATTTGTGGATATCAGACAGTGGCGGACCCATGTTGGTTCAAGATGGTTCACTTGAACCACCTCAGATTTGAAACTATCCTTTATATATTATATAACTCAAATAAACAAACAAAGAACCCCTTGTCCTAGCGGCAGAGTATTAAGTAGATGTTGTCTTCGGTGAAGCTGGAGGTCCTGGGTTCAATCCCTGGCAAGCAGAGTTTTCTTTTTAAGTACCCATATTTTCTATTTTTATCCTTCAATATTTGCTTCCCCTAGATTTTCTTCTTCTTTTTCTTTCTTTTATTTTTGAAATCATAATTTTCAACTTCTTTAGTTATTCTAATCATATTTTTTATGAAGAGAAGCCTAACCATTCTCTTTTATATATGTTTCTTTCTCTTTTTTTTCTTTGTTTTTGTTATAAATAAAATATTGTTTAAAAAAAAAAATTGAACCACCACTAAATAGGTTGTAAGATCGCGCCAGCTGATATCAGATATTAATAAAAATACTTCCAATGCAGCTGTTGATATGAGAGCTTTACGCCTAATATTTATTGGAAGAGAACACGAAAAAGTGATTGATTCCATGTTGGAAGATTCGTGGCTATCTATTGAATATCTTTATGGCCAGCGATTGTTCGACTATACTAATAGGCCACACTTTAAACAACAGTGATGAATGCTTGGGGCTATTCTCATCAAGGTGTTGATTACCGTCAACAATAAATATAATAATTAATTTGGTTTGAATCGTAGTGTCACGTGACAAGTATAATCATATAATCACATCCTAAGAAGAATGATTTAATTTTTGTTTAGTTTAAGGAGAGAAATGGGGTTCACTACATGATTATTTTCTCATCCAAAGTGGAGAGTTTTTAGGCTGGTGCTGTTATTAATGGTGGAATTTTGTTTTGAGGATAGAAGCGGGGCGCTGGTCCTGCTTGGATGCCTTTGGTCAGCTTTTTAGAGAGGAAATTGGTCGGTAATGTCGGTCTGGTCGGTTAAGTTTGGACGCCACCAAATATCTTGTTGTATCTGACGCAAAAAAGAAACTCTACATGTCATTGTATTTAAGGTTTCAACTTTCTTAATCTGTGGGAGGTGAGATTACTCCAATCCATTTCTCAGTAGGAAAGCATCTACAAACAACAACAAAAAAAAAGAGATTTTAGTGCTAATTGATTATACGCCCCAAAACCATCAATATCTATTAACGACCCGCTAAAATCTCTGATATTTATGAAAATGTTTTTCAAATACTTAAATTTTAATATTTTCGACTCCAAACCAAATGACTTCAACTATGAAATGATTGAGGAAAGATTTACTATTCTAATCCTTTCTTAATTAGACTTACCCCAGTCAAATTTCATATGAAGTTTAAGATTTTTGGAGTAGAAAAATCTAAAACTTAAGATTTGCGGAGCTTTGTCTAGCAGGGACCCAAATATGGGACCAATAGAGGGACAAGTGAGGTGTCGCGCCCTCCTATTGGATAATGAGTTGACCATCATTAATGATGGCCAACTCATTATCCAATAGGAGGGGGACACCTCACTTGTCCCCCCTATTGGTCCCATATTTTGAGTCATTGGAGAATTTTTCTTACATATAAGATTATGAATATGAAGCGAATACGCATTTTGCTAATTCATCCGTAAAAGATGAACTGATCCTGAGAATATCTTTTGTTTACATCATAGCTTGCGTTCCGTACTTAATGTAATAACTAGTAATAATCTGAAGGGTATGATGCCAAAAAAAAACCCATTGATTCTAATAATATTATAAATGTAATATTATCTAATCTTGACATTAGGTTACTTGATTTGTGAAATAAACAAACGAATTGCACTTTTCCAGTTGTAGATCCGTCATTCTCGATAAAAGACACCTTTCCATTTTCTCTTTCTGCAAGTTGTTCACGGAAACAAACAGGTGGCACACTCTCATTGGCCCGTATCACACCTTCGTGTTTTGTTTACTGTAAGGGATCCTCCTACCAACCTAGCAGGACAAAGTTTAAGCCTTTCCAGCTCACAGAGCCCCACCTCATCCCCACGTGTGCCACACCTGCCCCCACGTACGTTATGCACGAAACCCCCAGCAAAACTGTATAATTAAACATTTATTTGATTCCTGATCGTTATCGATCACGCGAAAAATAAAACTAGGGTGGCACTACAGACACACCTCCAACCACACCTTGGGGCACACCCCCTCTCTCAGCTACAGTGCACGTACGGGGCTCACTTTAGATTTTAAAAAAAATCTAAAGTGAGCCCCGCACGTGCACTGTAGCTGAGAGAGGGGGTGTGCCCCAAGGTATGGTTGGAGGTGTGTCTGTAGTGTTTTCCATAAAACTAAATCATGGAAAATGCTAATCCCGAAGAAATTAAATGATTGTGTTGGTACCGCCACCGCGTTAAGGTGAGAATAGCAGCCTGCCGTAGACATCGCGATTTCGTCCACGCTGCGTCTGGGGTGAAGCTACTCCTCGTATAAAAACGTTTTCTCTCTCTCTCTCTCTACTTTCTAAAGATTAACCAAAAAAAAAAAAAAAAAAACTTAAAGGTTGGAAGAAAGTTTGGGAGAGAAAGTGAGAGTTGATCGCCTCTTGAGTCTTGATCGATCTGAAGGTGAGCGTTTACTGATTAATTTTCTCTTTATCGTTTCGTATTAGTTTGAGTTTGTAGATCTTTTTTGATGCGATCGCGTTTGAGTCTAAGCACGAAGTTGTTGTTTTTGAGACGACCGATCGCTTTGAATCTTGTGAGAAATCTAATTTTTTTTCTTTATTTTTAGTACTCAGTTTAATTTTCCTTCATCTATTAGCTCTTTTTTTTGGATCGGTTCACTGTGAAGTCTCATCTTTACTGTGTTGAATCAGATCACAGATCGTTGATTCCAGTAGCGTTTTAAATCTGAATTCATTTCATTATGCGAGATTTTTCACTAATTTCGGAAAGATCTGATCCAAAGGACCAAAGCTTTCGATACCTAAGGATCAAGAATTTTTGAGAAAGCTCATGTTTATCTCTATTTCTAAGTTTAGATGCTGTTCTTTGGTCAAGTTTAGTTTCCTGGATCTTAATTGTTAAAAATAAAATAAAATCGTCAAAGTTGATTAATAAGAGCATCTCCAACCATAAAACCCAAAATGGTGTAGTTTTTACACTAAGTTGGTGTAGTTTTTACACCAAATCACTATTCCATCTCCAACCCATTACACCAAATGTTATACAAAAAAGAATTTTCCTTTTATTATTCTTATCTTTTAACATTTTTATCTATTTAAAATATTTAACAAATTATATAATTATATAATAATAATATATTTTATGAATAAAATAAAAATCTTAATAGAAAAAAGCAAAAAGAAAAGAAAATATGAATAAAAGAATAAAGTTTAGAAAAAAAAAACTGCGCTATCGCTACAGTGTTGCGCCATTTCTGGCGCAACACTGTAGCGGCCCGCTATTTTAGCGGGGCCGATGGCGTTCGGTTGGAGTGAGAACCGGACGCTAACTTAGTGTTTTAGCGTCCGGTTGGAGAGGCCCTAAGTGTTACTAGTAAATGGTGAAAATTTGGAGTTTAGTAAGTAAAATAAAAAAAAAAGAAAAAGAAATTTGAGGCGAAGTATACTATGTTTGGATTAGGATCCCATAGTGTCCCCTACTGGTGCGGTCAACGAGGCAATTATTCTGCTTCTAATAACTTCATGCTTTCTGTGAGTTTGTATCCTGGGATCTGCTGTATCCATGGAGAACAGCAAACAGCATAATCTGACGAGCTACTAAATTCATGAAAACCATGGAATGTGGACTGCATATCCCAATGTTTTCTTGCTAGATTCTTCTTAGTCTCGAATTACCTTGCGCCTTTCTGTAACACACTGATCTTTTCTTTCTAATTTGCAGTGTAAGTACATAAAGACTACCTGCTAGCACAAATGGAAGAAGAGAAACATGCAAGTTCTGGAGATGTCGAAGTGAAGCTATCGGAGAATAAGATTGATGTAGTGGTAATGGTTTCTGCATAATTTCCTATTTGAGTTGATCATGTTCGAGCTAGTTTTTCTTTTCCCGGCTAAAATTTTGACTTTGGTTGTTGGCTAGGAATAACTTAACTTTGCTTAGAATTAGTTGTTTGCTATTGGTTATATGTGGCTGATTTATGACTGCATGGCAGTTTCATTTCTAAATGGGCCTCCTATGGCCTTTGACTGAGCCCTGAAAGGCAGTAATTGGAAAGTAATCTGTTATGACTGTAATTATCCTAGTTCAAAGACGGTAATTTCTTGGACTGGTAATGGTGCACTGTGAAACTACCAATAGAAACTGAAAACCACACATTTGTGAAACAAATTTGATAATTGTAAAGGAATGTTCTTGAAGGGCCTACAGTTTTTTTCTAAAGGGAAGTATTATTCTGGTACATTATTATCTCAGTAACAAATTGTTAAAGAATTCCCTCTTCCTCCTTCCATTGAATCCCGTTATTAAACTCACCAGTGTATTGTTTAAAAACAGATTTCATCATTGGTTATTGTTACATATAATATCCAGTGACGCTTGTTCGAAGTCCAATATTAATATTATTTTTGAAGATTATTTCTAGAGTGTTCACTGATGTTTTGGGCCTAAGCTAACTAATTAGTGTAGATTCCCGTGGTTATGTATGTGCATAGTCGAGGTTTAAACATATCTAAGTTAGAGACTCATCTAAAATGCGTAAGTATTTTGTGTATATGGCAAATGTTTGTTGTGAAATCCTGATTTTCCAGCCCATATGTTGTTAATGTCAATTGTGATGCTCTATTTGGGCTAAAATATATTTGTAGATTATGCGAGATGGCCAAATAGAACATAAATGTTGTCGTGATGCACAATTCAGTGATTTGGAAATCTTTTGCATTAGAAGCTCTGAAAGAGTAATAAATCAGCATGTCATTTATCTTGATATTGATATTTATCTCACCTGATAATGCTATAAGGAGAACTGCTCAAACCTGGTAAAAACATATGATGAAAGGACGTGGGATCCTAGCACTATTTTAAAAAGCCTCCGCCTAGTCCGCCTACGCCTAGGCGGTATCTAGGCCGCTTAACTAGCGCCTAGCACATGGGCGGTACCTAGGCTGCTCACCTAGGTTTTGGGAGTGTATAGAGAGCATTATCTGCTTACGCGAACTGCACTTTTTACATCTTGATCATGATTTTCTATGTTGCAGCCTCCACGTCCTTCAACCTCCTTCAAACTCCTTTAACATCCAAATATGAACACATTCACTATCTCCTCGGCCACCACTTAAATGAAAAAAGAAATCCATCTAGACACCAGTCCGACACCTAAGCCTTCTATAACATTGACATTTACTATTAATTATTATAATTTAAAAATAAAAAAACCTCCCAAGCTCTAGGCATCAGGTCCAACGCCTAGGCCTCATAATGCTTTCTATAATCTTGTTAGTTATTATTTTAGCTATTTAGTATTTAAGTATGCATGGTTTATTGTGAATCTAAGCTTGCTATCTTTTTTGGCAAATTTATATGAATTTAATACATGTTTTTATTAATTATTATAATTAAATAATTTTAAAAATAGACAAATGTCTAGGCGCCACTTAGGCGTACACTTAGGTGCCTAGCCGCTTGCTCAAACGCCTAATCCGCCTAGCGTCTTTTGTAACATTGGATCCTAGTTATTCCTATTTTATGTAAAAACTGTATTAGGGATTCAACCTATAATTTTCACAATCCACTCCACCCCTTCAACAAATTAGAATAGAAATGGGAGAGATCAATATGTGATTGGGATTGAAAGCTAAATAGATTTTTTGACTAAACTAGCCCCATGCGTTTTGATAGCTACTCAATTTGCCATACCAAATTTGTGTAGATTCATTAGTACAACCCCAAGGAACTTAAACCCATTTGGTATTTGCGACTCAAGATAGAGATTTAAGAGTATGTGGCTCAAATTTGGTAGCAACCATTAAAATGTACTTTCCAAACTTAAAATTTTTTGGTCTAGTTCGAAAATGGAGTAGAAGTGAATTTCACTTAGATCTAAGGCCAAAAGGATTACATTCGGCCATAGTAGTCTTAGCCGCCTATTATACTGGTGCCTCTATTTCCATGTCACTTCATATCATGTTAGGCTTGTAATGTACACACCCACTGGATCTTCTAAGATTGGGTGTCTTGAGGATGCAGTTTTTAAACGCTTACACTGGCGGTGCAGTTGTTATATTGTTATTAGCTCGTATTGAATCTCAAATCTTAAAAATATCGACCTGAAAATGCCCATAAATTGGCTAAATGAAGGTACCACTCTATTTTTCCAATTCTGAGCATTATCTGTTATACTATTTGTGTTTATACATGAGAACGAGTAAAATATGTATATGTTAAATACGTACATGAGTACTATTTGTGTGTATAACAGATAATATACCTACCCACTGTATACAATGTAATGAATTCCATAAGCTTTGACATCTACTTCCAAGTACGTAGTTAACACATACATATTTTACTCATTCTCATGTATACACACAAATAGTTCTCAAATAAAGTGTAAGCCTTCATTTAGCTAGTTATGAGCATGTCTAGGTCGATATTTCTAAGATACTTCCAAGTACGTAGTTAACACATACATATTTTACTCGTTCTCATGTATACACATAAATAGTACTCAAATAAAGTGTAAGCCTTTATTTAGCCCGTTATGGGTATGTCCAGGTCGATATTTCTAACATTCGAGATTCAATACGAGCTAGTTACAGTATAACAACTGCACCGCTAGTGTAAGCCTTTAAAAATTGCATCCTCAAGACACCCAATCTTACAAGATACAGTGGGTAGGCAAAGAAGGGCATACACTTTATTTGAGTACTATTTGTGTGTATACATGAGAACGAGTAAAATATGCATGTGTTAACTACGTACTTGGATGTAGATGTCTAAGCTTATAGAATTCATTACATTGTATACACAAATAATACATGCAAAGTACAAGTATTCGTTACTACAGGTCCTATAATAGTTATTTCCAAATTTTGTTTTGTTTGCTTTGACTGGTAGTGAGTAATCATATTTGGCTATTTTCATTATTATTATTTTTTGTTGTGCTGAACCTTAAGACTTTCGTTCAATTGACTATGGCCTGAATTTTGGTTATAATACGACTGGTTCTTAATCGTAGACTTTAAATTATCTATCAGGTTTTTGTCCGATGGTTTTTATGGTTGCCGAAATATCCATATGCATATACCAATTCTTCAAATTCATATGCATATACCAATTCTTCAAATTCACTTTTTTATTGCTAAATTTTTATTCCTTTTAAAGAATGCTTAGTTTTAACTTTATCATATGTTTGCATTTCCCATGTGCCTATGATTAACAAAAGATAAGGAAAAACATATGGACTAACATTGAAAATCTCGCGATTAATGTGGCACACTAAGATAAAGGAACACATCACATTTGCCATTAGTTTGTAGTTACCCAAAGAATGAATTGGAAAGTTTAGCTTTTAGAAGTCACAGGTCGATGAGAAGTGTGTCTAACTTAACAATGACACTAGCATAAGAGAATTGTATCATTGACTAACAGTAGCTCATGAGTCATGATGAAAAGATATAACCGACTAAATTTTTGGAATATTATTTTTAACATCAAGCAGAAGGTGCTTTAGCTCAACTGAATGCCAGTTGTGTCTATTGGTAACATTTTTTCTCCACAAAACGTTCCATTTATTCTGTTATCTTTAGTTTTGGTTACTCGTATTTGATGGTTTACTTCCAAAAGCTCAAAGTAACATTTTTGGGTTTCATGTCAAATAAAATTTAGTTATTTCACATCTAATGCATCTGGATACATGTATTTAGGCTCCACAACATCGAAGTTCAGAACATAGCTAACAGATTGTGGTACTTTCTTTTTTGCAAACAATTAACAAGCTGAGCCATCCAATAATGGCCAATGTTGTTGATGACTATTGTTAGGAAGGCCTTCAGTATTTCAAGATCTTGTACCTCTAAAGCTCTTCACCTGAGGATCGTGCATATCTATCATTATTAGGGTTAGTTAGGGATGATAAATTTGACCCAAACCATTTGCCCACCCATGCCCACCCACTAAATGACCCATCCAATCCCAACCATTATTTAAATGAGTCATAAATGGGTGGGATTGCATCTATTGAAGATAAATAGGTCATAAATGGGTGGGCTATTACCTGCCCATTTGCCCATTTATATGTGTATTCTTTCAGAAACACCTTCAAAGTTTCAACAATTGCAAAAAATACTTAAAATTACATGAAACATCTAAAAGTAAACTAATGACCAACACATATAAAATCTAAAAAATTCCCAATAGCCCTTTGAAAATTTGAGATTTGCAAAAACCACCCTCAAAGTTTAAAAATTGTAAAAAATACCCTCAGAGTTCAAAATTACAAAAACAAATCCCAGAAATTTATAAACTTACAAATACGCATAAAATCGGGAAATTTTCGGCAGCTTCCAATATATTTAAAATTTGCAAATAACACCCTTAAAGTTTCCAAAAATGTGAAAAACACCCTCAAAGTTTAAAAAATTGCAAAACACACCCTCAAGATTTCGATTACAAAAAACTCTCAGAAATTTCTAAACTTGCAAATAACACAAAATCTAGACATTTCTAGCAGCCCCCTATAAATTTAGATTTTTTTTAAAAAAACCCAAAGTTTTAAAGAATTGTAGAAAACACTGTCAAGGGTTTAAAATTATAAAATCCATCCTGAAATTTCAAAACCTACAAATAGCAAGTGAAATCTGGAAATTTCCAGCACCCCACTATAAATTTAAAATTTACAAAAAACGCCTTCAAAGTTTTAAAAATTGCAAAAAACACTCTCAAGAGTTAAAAAAACCTCTGAAATTTCCAAGCTTACAAATGACATGAAATCTAAAAAATTTTACCAGTCCCTGTAAATTTTAAAATTATAAAAAATACCCTTAAAGTT